TTTTTCTGGGGAGAACACTGGGTAGGGAGATGTGATAAAGAAGGACATACACGTATACCATCACAGCCACTTGTTTTGTATCCTGGGTAAAAAGCATATTGGGTAATTTGCCAATAAGTTCAACATCATTGATGACGTCATCAATTGTGGTAGTATTTAAGCTCGTGGTTTGATCATAGACCTTAGAATGAGGTCTATGGTTTGATGAATAAATGATGCATGACAATAAACCTTAATTTGTAAATAGCATATCAGTAAATCCATTCCACTGTAATTTTTATAATGTTCATATTTTAACAGTTTTTACCTTTCTTCCTGTACTACCACCTCCATCTCCCCAGACATAACCCTCTTCATATCGTCCCCCAGAATAGGGAAACACACTAAAAGAAAAAATCATCACAACAAAACAATGAGAGTGTTTGTTGCAGTAGTCCGTTTGTAGTGTGGTAAGTTGTGACGTATTACACACATTTTGACTATGTATTACCAAAAAGTGTGTCGTTGTTATTTAAATATTTATTATATATTACTGTAACAGTAAAGAAATTTAAAAAAAAACAGAAAAAAAGAAAGTATTATGGGATAGTTAAATTGAAGCACCTAAAAGTAAGATGTAAGTGACATTCAAATGAATGAATGACCTTAATATACAATCCATTTCATGTATGCTTTTTGATCCCAATACACTCAGGAACGGCCCTTTTCATACCTTTTTGTTCTGCTAGCATTTTACTGACATTTCCCAATCCCATAGCTAGGCCTTCCACATCCTGTACCCCAACATGACATTTCCTGTTGATGACGTCATCCCTCATTTCTTCCACAGAAGCCTCCAGGTCACTGCAAGAACACACAATATGACATCAATTAATATTTCTTTAGAAACTTTGCTTCCCTGTTCAGACTCCTACCCCTCCCACCTTTTAAATTGTTGGCCCCCTCTAAGTTGAACAAACTTTTAACCAAACTGGTCATCCAATCACTGTATTGTCATGAAATTATGGCCTGCTATATATGAGAATAGTATTTAGCCAAATTTACATTTATTTTAAATTTAGTCTTCCATGAATTGGCAAATGGTAATGAAGGACCAGTGTTTGTGGTGTCATAGAGAAAACTGGAGAACTTGATGGTTTTACAAATACACAATTCCTCTATTAGTGTGAACATAAACACTCATTACATTGGACAACTCATTAATGTATGTTTTTTGAATTAATTGACCTCATTTATAACTAGATACAAGGCTTTCTGATGACATTCAAAACTATAATACTATTTCACTGTTATTGTCATCTCACAAAATTTTGCTAGTTAAACAATATTCAAAATATTTGCTACACATGTACCGGTATTATATTACGTCTTAATTCAATGTTAACATGGCAATAATTGTAGTAAAAATGCACAGTTGACAATTTAAATACCACAACTTATAATTGGTTAAATTGATAAGTGTATTGGGGTAAACCATGATAAATTAATTTTGAATTTGTGAGTAAATATACAGTATATTATTTCAATATTTGATGATATGAATTCATTCCAAAAAACATACTACAATCCAAATTGTGTTAGTAGTACCCAGTTTTAGACAGTCCCAAGGTGTAACATATGAGATGTGCAACCTGTGTATGAAGACCACCTATCGTATGGGACCTTCCTTTCAGCGATATTTTTGCAGATTCACCTTTGTACAGAGATCAAAATAAAATTATCATTTCATTTATATAACAATTTAAATTTTCTCAAGCCAAACATGTTTGATTTTGATCAACCTACAAATATTTTTTGTTGCAACAGTACCGTTATTGTTTGGAAAATGTGTGAGTTGGTGATCCATAAAAAAAATAATTCAATCTCCATATAAAGACTACCTGTCTATAATGACCATGGACTCCCTTGAGTGGATATTATACATCAGCTTAGGTAAATAAAAAACCACCAAGGAAAAGAAAATAACTTGATATATGTGTATGCGCATATCTTCTTATTTACTTGCATGACATATCTCACCTAAGATCTCTGTTGATTCTCTCATTTCGTTGGCAGTACTGTTTGAATTCCTGGTGTACTTTAGCTCGATGTGCCCTCACTGGATGTTCATTCATTGATGGCTTACTTTGTATTACAAACTGAATATTCTGAAACGCTTCTCGTACCATTTCCCTACTTTGCTGTGTCTGTTGTTAAAATAAGAAATATTGTTCGTAAGAGCTATAGAAAGAACTCCTGTTTGGAATATAGGTGTTGCATAAGAATCTTTTGAAAGTCTGAAGTTTGAATATCACAAAACTGAAAAAATGACAGAAGCAGGAGAATAGTTGAACATTCGGTATGAATGAATTGTATGTACTAATAATATGAAGACATTCTAGTTTCACAGTGTTGTTAAGCATGTTACAGTTACAACTTCTTCCAATTGATGACCTCCAAGGGAAAGTCTTTTTCCTTATGCAGAACTCCAATAATACCTGATGCAAATGCAGTTTTCGAATCTGGCGTAAATCCTCTCTCAATTGCTTGCAGTTCTTTTTCAAGGCATGCGCCATGTAGACAATTTCAACATTCTGTATCGGGGAACATGCCTGTGGTGTTGTTGAACTATCATCTGAGAAGGAATAGGAATATAAACGACAAGTCAGTAGATCACCTTGATTGGATCAAAGGTGAACCTTATAGTGGGTGCAAAAAACGTTTCTAGAAAAAATTTGAAATAAAATTTTTCACCATAAATGACAAAAATATTCACTAAAAATAGAGAATTGAAGATATGTTCACCAAGTTAAAAAATGTGACAGAGATCCACCTAAGGTACACCAACATACCAAGCATCAAAGCTATTGAGCTGATAGTTTTTAACAAGAACTTGAAAATAGAAAACAAAAAACATCAATTCCACAAAATTAGACCCAAACAAAAGGCTTCTTTTATTTGTGAATATTTTAAATCATTTTGAGATGACATGGTAATAGTAATAACCCCCAAAATACATTATATGGCTAGAGGTCAATTTTTATAAATCATCAAAAAGATCTTACCTCTACGTAATGTCTGTTGTGATACTTCTGTTAATCCACAGTGGCATGCAAGTAAAGAAAACATTGAACATGACATGCAGTTAAGTTTTTAGGTGTAGAAAACCACACTCAAACAAGATGCATTGTATCTTCTTAATTTGGCCATTTTCACACCAGCAGGGTATCGTTGATTACAATTATGACAGGAATAGAAGAACTTGAACCAAAATTTTGAAACAAAAGGTCTGTAAGTGTGATTTTCAATTTTATCGAAAAAATGTACAATTTTACTTCAAAAGGCCAGAATTGCTACTCCTTCGGATTTGTCCAAAATCTAGTTTTCTGTATAGGACAAGATGTTTAAGTGACCGTGACAGTTAGCATCAGGTGATCATCGATGGATAAATGTGTTACAAAACAAAAAGTGCTATTTAGTACATTTAGTGTATCAGCATTTGATGAATGAGTAGGCAAGTCACAATGATGCAAGAAAGCCCACCTAGCTTTGTCAACAAATGCATAGAAGTGGCAACAAGCCCACCTAGCTAGGTCAACAAATGTCTATAAATAGCAAGAAGTCCACCTAGCTTTTTCAACAAATGCCCAGCAACGTAATCTAAAGTAAAATCAATCCCAACTTTTGTGTTAAGTTGGCAAAAAATCAACACTTTTAGTAATTACTGTTGAAAATATGATAAGCTCTGTAGAAAGCATGCAAAGATTCACCTTACACCCAGATAGTAGATTTACACACACAAAAAATTGTCTGGCTACATCAACCAAAATGTCAATCAATACTGCAGAGTTTGCATATTTTCAACAGAAAAATTGCTACATAACCTAAGACATGTAACATATTTAGTCACACTTGGACTTCTCTACTTTTTTACAGTATTTTACAGCAAGTCTCACAAGCAATGGGAAAGCAAGTTAGCAAACTTGCTCATCAATTCGCTGATAACTTTGGTTCTGACTTTATAAACAATTTTGTTTACTCCTGTAAACTCCATACCACTTCTCCCTCATGTAAACCCTAATAAAGTTATTTAAAATATTGTTTTTAAAGATGACTAGCAATAAAGTGTAATATTTGAATTGTTGGCAAACCCAAAGTTGTAAGCAAATCAGTGAGCACATTTGCTATATTGTTGCCCCAATGCTTCTGAGATAATCGATAATATGATCCGAAAAGTCAAAAACTGGAAAAAATATTTCAAGTGGTCCTCGAGTTAAGTTTATACAGACATGTAATGGAATAATACAATGCATCTTGAAAAAGTTAATTATATTCTAATCAAACACACAGTTAAAACTCAACAACTCTTACCACTTCTCAAAGATCGTGAGCTCTCAGACAGCGAAAAACTGTTTCTTTTAGTTGTACGCATAATTTCTTCAGTTAAATTAACAAGGTCTTCTTGACTTGAACAACTAGACTATAATAAAAGCAAAAACAATATTTCAGAAGAATGGTTTCTGTTTAAGAGTAAACAATTTTTACCTGCAAAGTGTCGTATTAAATAAGCAGTATGTTTAATGAATTCTATAGTACCATCTCACTCATTCAGAGAAAGCAATGTACTTATCCCAAACTTGACAGATGACAATATTAAACATACGTGATCACTTGAATTTCTTCTATCTGTTTTCTTTTTCACTAATGCTGTACGAACCAATCCAGCCAAGTTTGCAATCTGCTGTTCCATAACAGACATTCGAAAACTGATGAAAAATCAAAGGTTATTAGGTATAAGTTGGAAATTAATTATTAGACGTTTACGATAGCAGATTGGTGTAACTGTTTAATATTTAAAGCTCTTCGGAATGTGTATGTTTCCATCAGAAATTATATTTATTTGGAGAATTCCGCAATTATTGTTACATACCTTGCATCACTGTCACTCATGGCAGGTGTTGATCTCCCTGACACCGACTGAACTCGTAATGCTTCACTATCACTTATACTACCATTCAATTGTGGCATTGAACGTTGTTGTCGCAATAAATACTCTGGATTAGTTGGCTTAACACCGTGTGCTGTAGTGTATTCTATTTTCTTAGGAGTATCATAAGTTTGGGATTTAATGGAAGTTGGTGGTGCAGACGTAGGTCTTGATGCAGGGCTTCCAGCAACATGTCTGACAGGCACGGCATATAAATGTTTTGTGGGACTTGGCTGTCTCACTCTTTCCTCTCTTTGTACATTTGCAGGAAGGGTGAAGGATCGTGACGCTGCAAATATAAATATTAATTATATATATATATAACTTATAAAATAACACCTTGCAACAAAAATATAATGGTTCAGAACACGTTAATAAACATTCTGTATTCTTGATATCTATAAAACACTAATATTAAAATTAATTCGGTTTGAGAATAATGTGACACTTAATACTCACATGGTACAGCTCGGAAACCACTAGTTTCCGACTGCTTCACAGTGTTTGATGGAAGAGTTCTGGAGTCACGCTCATCTGAAAGTCTTCTGTCTTTCCTCACAACTTTTGTTGTATATACCATATCAGCTCGTGGGGGTGGCACAGGGGGTTGTTTGGATTTTTGTTTTTGTTGTTGTTGATATCTATTTATTGTTGTAGTAACATGTCGATGTTGCCTCATATCTCTTGCAGTGTCATCAAATTCTGGTTCTGAATAATAATTCCTGCTGGGAGTTGATGGAACTGGTGAATAAGAATCAGTTACTGATGACGGTGTTCCCTCAACTAACCTTAAAACCGTCCGATCTCTGATTTCTCTGTAGGAAAAAAAGTTCTGTTAGAATTGAGAAGTAAGAGCATATACCATAAGAGTATATTATCTTTTTTTTTCCAGAAATGCAGTACAAACTGTTTTCCTAATGCTAGAAAATAAAAGAATTTATTTTATCCAACACAGAGGGCTCCAACCCAAAATAAAAATATAGTTTCACACCACAATTAGATGTAATTTGCACATCAATTAACGTGTAAACACCCAAAGCCACAAACAAAAACAGTATTCAAACTGGTAGGTTTTCAGTAAATTCATAATAGAATATTTAAAGGATTGTACGTCTTGATATTATCACATGGCTATGGTGCATGCTAACATAATTAAGGCTTGGCTGTTCTGATGTCATTTTATTTTAGTTTAAACAGTAAATAAACAAAAACAATTCATTTAACAATACAATATTTATGGCTTGGATATGAGTACTCACATGGTACTATGAAATACTATTATCCAGTGATCCACCAGAAAAATAGCATTGGCTATAGTATCAGCTAATTTGCATAGGAAAAACATATGTTAATACTGTATTCATTGTTATGCTAAATAGTACTATTGTTTATCCAAAATTAAATAGTTGGAAAACATTACTCTATAATGCCCGGGGAATCAATTTTTAAATGGTATGAAAAGATTATATGTTTTGCCAATTTTGAAAACTATCAGTAGCTGATGGATGTTCATCGACGTACATTTTACCAAATTAGCATATGAAGTCAATTTTAGTTTCGTCAAATTATATTTTGTCTTTTTGACACTTGTAATGGATAAAACACCTGGTATTCATGGTGTATTATCTATTCATCGTCGGATAATACTAACTGATGACATCACACCAATCAACAGACTTTACAAACACGTGGTATCAGGTGATAATATCATATCTGATTAAAATGCTTTGAAATTCAAACGAGTGGTCTCTGGGACAAAGTTATTCTGAAAATAAACTGAATAACGTTTGCCCCTGTGACCTCGAGCATGTCTAATCTTTAATGATGGTCTGGAACCTATAGCCAGGAAAGATGTAAGTAACATTAGATGAATTAACCTAACTATTAGTGCTTCTAATTTAGAAGTAGCAACAAACTTATCTATGTGCAACACAATTTTTGGCACTTCACAAGCCATGAAAATAT